TAGTTGACAGAAATGTGAAATCCGTAACCATTGTGTTTGTAGAATGTGTGTATGTCATAACTGCATATTTCTCCTAGTAGACGCAATCAAACTTTTTTTAGCGCATTTCAACCCAATTTGGAAAAAAGGCGCTATTCGTCCGTCTCACCTTGACTTTACAGTACAGGGAACATAAGGCAATGCAAACCTTTTTGCGCAGCGGATGCCAATTTTACATTGAATGCTAATTGTCATGATTTCAAATCACATTTTCACATTTATATCAAACGGCCACTTACCCGATATGCTATTACATACATAAACGTGTAATAATCGCGATTATTAATTAAAAATCTGTGTTTTCTGCTAAAATTACTTCTTGAGTGCATGTTGGGACACCCTTTATATTAATATTCCATAAAACTCCTCAGTATTGATTTCATACAATTTTTTATAGTCGTTCTCGGCGATTTCGTACAGCCTATTAGTCAATGTCGTATATCTTTTTATTCCCGTTTCCGTAGTAATTTCGGCTTTCGGAGTACAGCTTCACGCTTTCAAAGAAACCAACAATCTAAATGTCAAGTCTCTATCTGCCGCAGTTTCAACTGTAAAACGTAAAATCCTCTCTTCTCCGTTCCTGTTCCCGTGGGAATTACGGGAACTGTTTGAATAAATCAGAAACCTTCGCGGGCATGCGTCCAACGATTCCCCAAAGCTTCATTACAATCGGATGAACGGTTAGGAAGGTAGAAGAGACATGCAGACAGACAACATTAATTTTTATTTATATAGACTTACACACTATACAGGGTGGGCCATTAGTGTGTGGTTGGAAGATTGTGGGTTCATTAACGCGCATACTTAAATTCATTGTGGGGGAATGTTTAAGGACCCTTCAGGCTACAACTTAAAAATATTTTCAACGAAATTGCAATTGTTATACAGGGTGATTTACATCAAAGTTGCATTTTTTTAAATGGAACCCTGTGTATATTATTACATATTTGGATTCCTTGGTCAATTTTAGTGTGACTTTATTTATTACACATGATGTCTAAAATGGGTCGTTTAGCCGCAATTCGTCGTTTTTTCAAAAAGTAGATACGTCTAGTAAAAATTGAATATCGCAGTTATAAAACTCAGAAGGCCGGGACTTTGCAGAGGTACTAATCATGAAATGTACTAACCGAGGTACTAACATACGCCGAACGACTAAAGTTGAACTTATTTTGTGTTAAAAGAAATCACTCCGTCAATTTTCAAAATTTCAATCAAAGGTAACTTGATTTTTTTAAATGGAACTATCAAGTTTTTTTATCGCCTCAAATGTAGGATCTTATTACCTTTTTAACGATATAAGCATGTCGATATGTATCTTTTACATATTTTTTGTAATTCAACAATTTCTAATAATTCACAGTGTTTTTGGATTTAAAAAACCTCTCGGTAATTAGTAGACCGTTAAAAATTATGAACAATTGAATTTATAAAAATTTGCTCGAAATAAAATAAACCAAAAACTTAAAAAAATCAAAATAGAAAGTTTAAATAAAAATAAGAAAAAAATAATTATTTCAATAAATGTTCAAAACCACACCTCCCAGGAAATTGTTGATTCAGCCATTCTTTAATGTTTATAGCAAAATCAGGTGGGACACCATCGTGCTGAAACCACATTTCTTCTACGATGTGCACCAGAACATTTTGAAGAAAAGCAAAAAAAAAAGAGTATGTACTTAAAAATTTAAAGTATAGAGCACCGTTTAAAATATTTTATTCAAATTCCATTTTTCTAACACAACAATCGACACAACAGAATTATAAATGCTAATAAACTAAACTGACAGATGTTATTTCATTTTATTTTGTTAATATTTTCTAATATGGCTTTCGTGGCTTACTATTCAAATTGATTTATTTATAAGTTCACGCGTTGGTTTAAATGCAAATTCATTATTTTATCTTTTAAAAAGGGCTACGACAAACAAGAGTTTTGAGATACATACCGACATGCTTATATCGTTAGAAAGGTAATAAAATGTTATATTTCATGAAATAAAAAAAACTTCGTAGTTTGATTTAAAATAATCAAGTTACCTCTGATTGAAATTTTGAAAATTGACGGAGTGATTTCTTTTAACACAAAAAAAGTTTAACTTTAGCTGTTCGGCGTATATTAATACATTTCATGATTAGTGCCACTGCAAAGTCACGGCCTTCTAAGTTTTATGATATGATAACTGCGATATTCAATTTTTACTGGACTTCTACTTTTTGAAAAAACGACCAATTGCGACTCATTTTAGAGATCATGTATAATACATAAAGTCACACTAAAATTGACCAAGGAATCGAAATATGTAATAATATACAGAAGGTTCCATTTAAAAAAATGCAACTTTAATATAAATCACCCTGTATAACAATTGGAATTTCGGTGAAAATGTTTTTAGGTTGTAGCCTTAAGGGTCCTTCAACATTCGCCCACAATGAATTTTAAATATGTGCGTTAATAAACCCACAATCGTCCACCCACACACTAATGGCCCACGCTGTATAGAAATAGCAGGTCCCCGAGCCTGTGAGATCCAATATCAAGGATCATTTTTAACCTGGCGAAATGTAGAAATGGTAAATAATATTTAAACTTGGACCTTCCATTTTTGATCTCCTACTAGCAACCCCATTTCCATTAATATATTACTAATTATAATTGCCAGGCGAGACCAGGTGAAGAAGTTATCGGACTCAACTTCATTTTTTTAATGGAACACCCTATATGTTTCCATCTAAAAAGGTAGTACATTAGATTCTCTTTTCAAAAAAAAATAATTAAAAAAATTCAATACTACTTCAAAAGGAGATTAAGTTTTAAAAAATTTAAAAAAAGTATGTTTTTGAAATCTTTTTGTATATATCACTTGAATCTTTTTTGAATATCATCCTTGGTGTGTTATATTTTTGAAAATTGCATTTAATATCTACTTAGATTAAAAAATATATAGGGTATTCTATTAAAAAAACGAGTCTGACAAATTGTTTACCAGACCCCATATACTCGAGCATATACTTATTTGGAAATTGTAGAATGTTCAACAATATTATAAAGAAACTTTTGTAAGAAATACGTTTCGGTATATCGTTTAACAAAGAAAATATAACATCATTCTGATATTGACAATCTATTGATTTTCCCTCGTATCTCTTAAGCAAGCGAATATTTTTCTTTTCGGACAGTAAAACGTGAAACTTTTACATGCGACGACAACTGTGTCTCAGATTCTTTCTGCTAGCAAAATCTTGCTCAAGCCTCAAGTATGCGCTTGGAGAACACACTGCACCTACAATGTGCACTTTTCGCATTCATTTCCTTCTTGTCGCGTGTTGATAAAAGATTGTTTTTGAAAATGGATGTTTGCAGTGGTAGTTTCAGAAGTTTTGAAAAGAGAAATGATATAAGTGGTGAAACTCTTCCATTTCGCTTTTTTTTTATTGATTGGGTGAGAGAATTCCACAGTAACATACCACTTTGTAGCTGGCGAACACAAGTAATGTCATCATCACAACGAGAAATCTGAGATTAAATTTCTCAAAAGTCATGATTCTATCCACTCCTACGATATGTATATCTTAGTTCCGTTCAGGGCCGGACTGGCCCGGGCCCCAGCCGCCCCTAGACGGGGCCCTCTTTGGGTCAGTCAATTTTTGAAGCATTAATGTTTGTAAATGTTCAGCGTATTGTTAGTTTAAATTTGGAGAAAGATAAATTAATTGATAAATTTGCCAATACGTCATTGGAATTACAGCGCCTTCTCCTTTAATTTAATGTTCAATACTGTTCAGCAAGTTGTTTGAAATACAATTAAAAAAATCTGCAAATCCCCTGTCTTCTTTTTCGGGGGGGGGGGTCCATAAGTTTGGATGCCTTTTGGTCATGGAGCGCCCGGGGCCCTTCCCACCCAGTTCGACCCTGGTTCCGTTGTGCACACCTATAAGCGCTTATATTCTCAGCTTTGATCTATGATCCAGGCTATATGCTAGTATCACTGCTGTGTTGTGCACGTACCCTTACAGAGCTTCTCTCTCATGCTCCCTCATTTACGCTTTGCAGGGAACACGCTTGCTTTCGAAGGGGCCTAAAATATTAAATACTGTCGATGCAGATGTTTTAGATCTTCCAAAGCTTTCTAGCGCTCGCGAGTCTTTCCATTTTCCAGAGAGTGATCAGCCTCTCCTCCGTACTTTATCTAGACCCTTTTTAATGATAAAATGCGTTGTCAGTTCTAGAAAGTACCTATGGCGATTTCGATGGATTTAGACAGGACTTTGAAAGATTTAGAACTCAGTGAAAGACTCGGAGAGAAATGTTAAAATACCCTAGTAGTTTCAAGCTCTTAAAGAAGACGCCCGGAAGCTCTGCGAAGACTGCCATAGCGCACTTGAAATTGCCAAAGGTTCTGAAGTCTCCTAAAGCTCTTTCCGGTTATTTCCAGAGCGCTACGGCAGCCATCCCAGAGCTTCCTGGCGTCTTCTTTAGGACCTTGAGACTCCTTTTGAATCCCCTCCAGAACTTCCCACTACTCCTGAACTTTGTAGAACCCATCAGTGCTTTGTAGTCCATTTTGTTCTTTGTGGGCGTCTACTCGTTTTATAAAAGGCGAGCAGAAGGTACTTTTCACGGCAATAGAAAGTATTAGCTTCCCACATTCCTTCTACTCCTTTTCCGAGCTGAAGAAACGGATATGGGCCTAGACCGCTCTCAAACTATAACCAAACGAGAAATCCTTTAAAGGTTCCTAAAATGCATTGGCAGTAGTTTGCAGAGCTCTAGAGCAACCTAATAAGATTGTGGGAACGAAGTCGGGAATGTCGCGGAAGATTCTGTCGACCAAGCGGTGTTTGTTAGCGGCAACGCAAATGTAGCCCTATCGTAATGAACATGAGGCAAATCGTAGCAAACAAAAATGATGATACAAATAGGACGATCATGGTAATAAGAAAAATTAAGAGAAGGCTGTTCAAACAAGTGCACACGCGTTGAAATTTTTATACCGTTTGGCATATAGAAAAATGGAAATGTACACTTTAAATTTGACATAGTATAGATACTGGTCTATTATTGAAGCTTTCTGGAAAAATTATCAGACGCATCGAGTAGAAAAGTTGTAATTTTACATACAAAATAACTATTTGAATTCATTAAATTCAAGGAACATGGCTTTCGTCCCAAGGGACGACAAGTACCCAAAAGTTATCGAAGATTTTCATTTTAAGGTACCAGTGCAAGTTGAACCACCAAAACAGCCTGTAAAACCGGTTGCCGACGATAAGGTGAAGATGACCAAGCCGGCAAACAAAGAGCAAAACGTTCCCAAGCAACCAGAATTGATAGAAACGGTTTTTGAAAAACTAACCACCGATTCCGTGACGGACTCGTCAATCGACACTCCACCGCTTCACTTTGAAATTAAGGAACCCCAATCCGTACCACTTTCGAAAAATGACTTGATCGATAACAATTTAAACGCGCATAGAAGTGCTTCCAACTTAAACTCTGGGCCTTTGTCCCAGATGCCTAAGTTGTTCCGCAGGCGTACAAACGCAAGTAACGTGTTTCCCGTTGGTTGCATGGGATGTAAAGATGAATCCAACGCGCCGAACAGTAATGATGTACCAAAGCAAGAAGCGGGATCGTTCACTTCTCAAACGTCTAAAGAAGTGGAACGCAATTCTTTAACAGGTACCGAAACCCACCAAGCAACACGGCGTAGGTTGATAAAAAGAAAAGGTAAAACGCGCTTATTTGAGCAATAGTAATCGCCAAGTTTTAGATGGGAATCCACTTCTTGGAATAGGCTACGACGATTTTGACACAGTTGGTTCAAATACTGTGTGCAAGGTGCCCCCTGGAGGACGTTCTCATAACATATGGTAGATTGCAATAAATATGCTCTGTTCATTAATTAATGTTTCAAAAACGTAAATACATTAAAATTCGTTTTTCATCTGTGGGTATCTCATTATACCGGGTGGTGCACGGTAAGTAGGAACATAGGGATTTAACATGGGAAAGTAGTGTTATGCAATATGCTGCTCTCCTGTACATTTTACAGAAAAAACTGTAGAGTTTAAAGTCTCATTTAAAGTTGTTCAGAATTAAAAGGTGCATGCAAGACTGTTTTTACATGTTTTATAGCTTCTGGTACACCCGCAAATTTAAAAATAAATTTCAACATTTCTGTTATTCCTTCCCCTCGGTACAACCTAGGTAAAAAAATTGTATTCACGCATGCGCATAAAATTAAAGAACTAATATATATATATAATATAAAGAAAATCGAGGAAAATGTGTAAAAAAACAGGACGGTATAAGGGATCAAAACCAACAGTTTTTGCAAAAATTCCGAAACTCATTGAATATTAGTGTATGAAAATTTCGAAAACTAAGTTTGAATGCGTCCATAGATCTCCAAATACCAAATATGGAACTTTTTTGTTTCGCGGCTAAAGAGAGAGAGAGCTAAACGGAAAACAGTGGGAGTCGGCAGAAGTGTCTGCGTAAGTGTATTGATGCAAGAGAACACTTTGAAAAATCTAATCGAATCAATAATTATTTCCAGAAAATGCGCATTACTTTCATAATGCACCCTGTACAAAAAAACTTTTGAAAATTATGCATATAGAATAGAGGCATTACTTTCATTCTCCTATGGCTTATTGTTGCTAATGAAAGATCAAACGCAAATTTTGAAAAAAATGTTTTAATCTCCATTACCACCTAATACTTTTGTAGCGCATTTTTTAAGAATTATTATTGTTTACGTTTTGTCCGTCCGTCCGTACGTCCGTTTTGAACTACTTCTAGGGGAATATGGTCCTAGAGTCCTAGAATTTTTGCAGTAGGTAGCCTATAGCTTGAACGTGGGCCGGACGGCCATCAAATTTCGCTGTCTAAAAGGGCCCCCCCCCCCACTATTTATTTCCTGGGATGCTGTTTTTGAAAGTAAAACGTGGATAACTTGTACATACGACAACCAATTGGTCTCAGTTTTGCATACGCATGCCTTTAGTGGTGCTAAGTTAAACTTTAGGAAATTGGGAGGGAGGGGGGGAGGTGTAAACACATGTTCTACCCTTCATGGTATTCTAATGAAAGGTCTCATCGAAATAAATTGGTTTGTACAAACTATAACTTTCCCGTGCGACTCTTTTTCGAGATCACTGAGCAATGGGGGGGGGAGGGGGTTACAAATTAATTTTATCTCTCATTGTATTCTAATTAACCACCTATTCAAACGGACGAATTGTTTGCGAGTAACGATGGTATTGGGCGGACGCGAGAGCGAATAGGCTGTAGCACCGCCACTGCTTTAAAAAAACCTGACAAAACTGCGGTTCAAGCGAAGTGGCAGATAATGGAAAGCGTAGGTACGATGTTTATGCAATGCGGAATCTGCAGAAAGCTAAATATGAACGTGTGAATGCAATGCGAATAATGCACCGTTCGGCGCTCGGGCTCGTTGACTTTTATAGGATCAAAGTATCGGAGTATCAAAATTATCGGTATCGATATACCTATTCGACACTTCGATACCTGCATGCAGTCGTTAGTCCGGGGAATAGAGACTGAAAATGGGCCATTTCCTGCAAAACGAGAAGTAGTTACAATTTTTTTTGCATGTCATGTAGGAATATCTATCTGGTGGTTAAGAATCTAAGTTTTCGACCTCCCACCCCTTGTGCTTCCCCCGTACCACTTCTAAAACCAACGAAATTTGGTTGGTTTTTTAGTTTTTCAATCATATCTTTTTATAGGTTCACTTTACACAAAAATATTGTTATTAGAAATTGTAGAACATCAAATTTTACATAAATTTGTCATACACTTTTTTTTGGTAAATTTTTTATTTCAAAAGATACAGAGTTTCAAAGTTGTTTTTATTTTGAAGATTCCGAAATTTCTATGTATGTACATATTTTAACGAAATTGTATGTTATCTCTATAATCATAAGATTTATATGAGAAAATAACTCGATTATGAAGCTATGGTGCTATAAATTTCGGTACCCTGCACCCCTATCAAAGGGGATGATAGCGCTTCAACCCCTTGGTCGTAGTAGGTATTTGAATCACTGTGTGATTATGGTGCTTTCAAATACAATTATCAAATAAGAAAAGTGGTGTTACTTCATTTTAACTCCTTTCATCTCTTACAAAAAGGGATGATTACTTCAATCCCCTATAGTTGTGATTGTTCAACTATCTAAGATTATATCGCTTTCGAACACAATTTACAAATCATTATTTTATATGAACATGAATGGCAAAAAATTTTTTTATTTGCAATGTGTATTCAGAAATGTCATTATCGAAGTGTGATCGAGCAATCACCAACCGAGAATTAAACCACTCATTTCAGTTGGGGGTGGTTAAACCGGAACGAGAATATTAGAAAATATAAGTAATAAGCGTTGTACTTACTCTCTGACTAACTTATCAATCGCCACAAGGGGTTGAAATATTCATTCCTTCCGGGGGGAGGGGGGGGGGGGAGAGAAGCTGGGGGGGGGGGGGGGGGAGAGAGAAGCTGAACTGAAGTGAAACTGTTTCTTATTTCAAACGTATATTAAAAAGCGCTACAATCTCACAGTGATTCAAATATCCCTACTAGCAAGGGGTGAAAGTTGAATTATTATACATCCCCTTTGGTAAGGGTGCAGGGTAGGGAGATTTATATCACGATAAATTCAAGTTTCTCATAAAACTCTTAATTATAGAGATAAAGATTAAATTTTGATTAAAACATCTACATAGAAATTTCATAATTCTTAAAAATATAAGCAACTTTGAAGCTCTATATCTTTTTTAATAAACATTTCACAAAAAAAGTAATGCATATCAAAATTGTGTAGAATTTTATGGTCTACAATTTCTGATAACAATATTTTTTTTTAAAGTAAATCTATAAAAAGATATGATTGAAAAACTAAGAAACCATCCAAATTTCAAGGGTTTTGGGAGTGGTACGGGGGAAGCACAATGGGTGGAAGGTCGAAAACTTCGATTCTTAACCACCAGATGACTGTCTATGACATGCAAAAGAAATTAGAACTACTTCTCATTTTGCAAGTTAAAACCCTCTATTCCCTGGACTACATATCGACCATCAATACTTAATTAGATATCGATACCTTCTGTCACGCCTTCTGTAAATATCAGTACTTTTCCGGGGGCCATAAATACCATATCATCAAAGAAAAATACGGAAAAAACAAATAACTTATGAAAGCAAATTAAAACTACAAATAAACAAATAACAATCAAGATGTTGCTCTTAATCCGTACAAACACTTTCAGGTCCTGTTCAGCTCTCGACACTTACTTCGTTGCTCCGATGGTGAGGAAGTTAGCGATAGTACCGGTTTTAGTTGAAACATACTGTATTTGGTATCTGCATGATCCTATCCTATAGGTTATAAGCAAGAGGTATATATCAGTTTTTATATACTTTTGGGGATCTATCCGATGTTACTTTTTTTCTCTAAAGTGATTCAGTCGTTGATTCAAACTTAGCATACAAGTACTTTTCATAATTATATTCCTTACTGCCATTAACCACCCTGTATATAACATTTACAAGGTCATATTTGGTTCCTAATTGTATTTGTTCTCGAAATTAATGAGATCACTATAAAAGAATATTCCAAATTGATTACCTTCATTATTTTCTAATACAGCAATTCCTAATAATTCCGCCCAATTACTTGGAACATCTTTACTCCAACTGAGTGTTCGACACAATTTATATTTCCTTTGATTTTTGCTCGGTTCACGTAACAACTCGCGATATTCAGGCATCATTACACTATTATTATTTGCCTCCCGATTTGCAAATCATAACCAACTCACAAGCACCGCTTAACATCACTTCTAATTTTTTATTACTGACAGATGCAAGGACAAATATAACGACTAAAATAATCTAATTTTACAACTCAATAAACACTGATGGGAGCGTAAGTGGTTTTTCAGATTGCACAATTTTTGCTTCATCCTTACGGTTGATTTGTTCATTTACAAATGAGGAGTAACCTTAATAAGCGCTCTCATTTGGGTTTGGCATTTTAATGAATTAATTACAATCATAAGAAATACCGAAAGAATTGTAAAAAAAGTAGGGTGCCCAATAATTCCTGGCCAATGTCCAGATTATGCTTGGCTATTTTTGATGTTAGCATAGAAACTATGCGTTACTTTTATTTCCTCAAAACGACAGTCTAGACGTGTTAGCTGAACTAAATATAATTTTAGTCCTCCGAAGTGTACATATTTTGTAAATTCCTCTAAAAGCTGCATTCGAACAAAAACAATGGTTTAGAAGCCGTTTAATGTTCAAATGAATTTGACACCATAATCCTGAGGTCAGTTTTGAAACAGAGATCTGTATAACTGTTCAAACCCTGCTGTCCCTCTACAGCAGTCACACCAATATTACCTATTATGACTTACGAGTGGTCATTTTTATATTCGCGGACTACGCATGCAAACCCTTTTGTTTGGAGCAACAACAAAATTTTATTATTCAATATAAGTAGTTCCCCTGCTTTTGAATGCAGGTACAACACTGTTGCAATAACACCTTTAATCCAATATAAAAATATTCATTTGGTTTTTCCGCAAAATGGCTCTCACATCTGCTAGTTATAAGTTCGTCATTGCCCTAAATTTTGTTCCGCTTAGTGTTTTTTTTTTGAGATTTGGGAACAAAAATAGTCACTGGATACTAGATCTGGACTAGAAGGTCCAATTCTTTAAATTATTTTAGTTAGAGTAAAAAGGTCGCGGATAACCGTCAGACTGTTCGTGATGAGTAAAAGAAGCACAAGGTTTCGACCTATCTAAAGTCTAGACTTTCTTTGGAAAAAATTAAACGTCAACACTTTGGTAAATTTGTAATTAATCATAGAGTGAGGCTATCGCACGTGGAACAAGCAAAAAGGTTTTCG